TGTGAATACACACTGATGTGTGTGCATGTGTGTGAATACATGCCTCAGTGTGTGCATGTGTGTGAATACACACCTCTGTGTACACATGTGAATACATACCTCTGTGTATGCATGTGCATGAATACATACCTATGTGTGCACGTGTGCGTGAATACACACCTCTGTGCAAGCATGAAAACATGCCTCTGTGTGTGCGTGTGCATGAATACACACCTGTGTGTGCATGTGTGTGAATACACACCTCTGTGCACACATGTGAATACACACCTCTGTGTATGCATGTGCATGCATACCTATGTGTGCACGTGTGCATGAATACACACCTCTGTGCAAGCATGAAAACATGCCTCTGTGTGTGCATGTGCATGAATACACACCTATGTGTGTGCATGTGCATGAATACATGCCTTGGTGTGTGCGTGAATACACACCCATGTGTGTGCACTCATGTGAATACACACCTCTGTGTGTGTGTGCACATGAACACACACCTCTGTGTGTGCATGTGCGTGAATACACATCTTTCTGTGTGTGTATGCATGTATGGGTGCATGAATACATGCCTGTGTGTGAGTGGGGGCGTGTATGAAGACACACCTGGGTGTGTGTTTGTGTGTGCACATGAAAATGCCCCTCTCTGTGTGTGGGTGTGCAAGAAAATGGCCCTGTGTGGGGGGGTGTGCATGGATACATGTCCATATGTCTGCCTGAACACACAAGTGGCCATGAACATATCTTGGTGTATGTGTGCCTTTGTAAATCTACCGCAGGCATGTCTGTGTGTGTGACTAGAGAGCTGAGTGTGAGTGTGTGTATGTGTTTTTCTGCCTGGGTGTGTATGATCATGCCTCTGTGCACGTGTGTGCAGTAGTCAGTGTTTGGGGGTGGCTATACACCTGGCTGAGTGTGTTTGTGCAGAGTTATGTCCGGGGATCGGAGCACAATAGAGTGTTTGTGTTTGCAGGTGTGTATCTGTGTGCAGTGTGTGGGTGTCTCTGATTGTGTCTACAGCAGAGCTTGGCGAGCACTCACTGACTGGCAGAGCCATTGCCGGGCACCGTATCTGACAGCCTAGCGAGCAGGTGAACAAACACGATCAAAGCCACTCACGTCTGCTCGTTTCCTTTGATACGCACCGTGTAGCTGTAATTATTTCAGATGATACTTCCGAGCACAGCGGCGAATGCACCGGGGCGTATTTTATACAGCAAGGCAGGCTCAGTGTTCTCTGTGAGTGTTCTCTCACTGCAGCTCCTGCTCCTCAGGACTTTTCCAGCCCCATAACCGTGATAATGATTGTCAAGGCCCTGTGGGCCCATTAGCTCACTAGTCTGCCCCTCCTGCCCCTCACAGGCCAGGATGTTCCCCTGCATGCAGGGGAAAATCACCCCCCTGTTCTCCTCCCGTCTGTACAGCCAGGGGTCGCATTCACCCTTTTGGCCACAGCCTCGCACTGGGGGCTCGTGTTGAGCTGTGTGTCCGTTCTGGCCCGAGTCACTGCCTCCCAGGGCACAGCCCCGCTTCCATGGGTTTGGCCGGATGCCCTGTCCCTACGTGTAGAACGCCACATGGCTAAAACCCCGCTTGGCTTTTCACAGGCCCGGCTTACGCAGTGACCCCAATCGCTCGGTGGGGCCTCGTCACCGTTTATAGCTCCGCCACTCTGTGTGCCCGCCGCACGTTTTACCAGCAGGGATTTTATATTTACTGCCCGGATCGGGGCGGGGGAGATGTTGAAAAGCGTCACGCCTAGGATGGAGCTTGGCGGCCTCCCGCTAGGGCCCCATTCGATGAGGATTCCCCCTTCGAGAGCTCCCGTAGCCAGCCCTGAACCGGCTCCCGCGGGCTCCGGTGATATTGCAGAGCGCTCGCTCTTTAATCAGACTATCCGTGTCCTCGAGCTCTCACAGCGCTGCGGCGGGGCGAGCTGGGGCGGTGGGGCTGCCAGGCTCCCAGGCTGCCGCGCTCTCCGCAGGGCTGTGGCTGCGGATTAGCAGCGTGGGAATTGGGGCGTTTCTGCTCGGTGTTTGTGTGCATATACACACCTCTTCCTGCAGGGCTGGCGGGGGGAGGGTGCCCTGTTGGCTCTGTGTGTGTGTGTGAAGGCAGTGTGTGCGTGTGAGGGCAGTGTGTGGGTGTTTCTCAATGCGTATATGTATGAAGGCAGTGTGTGTGTGTCTTTCTCAGCGTGTTTCTGAGTGTGTGGGTGTGCGAGGGCAGTGTGTGTGTTTGTGTTTCAGTGTGTGTGTGTGTGTGAAGGCAGTGTGTGGATGTGAGGGCAGCGTGCATGTCACAGGCTCTAAGGAGCGAGGACACTGGCTTTTGGGCTGCATCCCTGTGGCTGGGGGAGGCTAGTCTCAGGGAAGGCGATGGGCCCTGCCCCACGGCTGCCAGCCAGCCTGGCCCAGTCTCTCCCATTGCAGCAGACGGTACTTCCACTGCTCTTATTCCTTGGCACTAAGGTGGGGGAGGAGATGTGGGGCAGGGCCCACGGGGCCCAAAGGGGTGGTGGGAGCCTGAGGCCCACATGCGCAGCGTGACCAGCGAGCAGCCCCATGGCACAGGGCCCCATGCCGCCCGCCAGCACCCTCTTGCCCCAGCTGTGCTCATGTCCTCTCCTGGTGCCATGGTGCCCCCATGGCAGAGCCCCCCATGGCCCTGCCCTCACTGTGCACACGACGCTCCCCTGGGAGCGTGGCGCCCGCCTGCCCACGCTGCTGCTTCCCAGCAGCTGCTGTCTGCCCGCCCCGTGCCCTGGGCTCCTTCCTTGCATGGTTCTCCTGGCGCTGGGCCTGTCCAGACAACGGCGCCCGGGCTGGGCCAATGCTCCTGGCTGGGCCTGCAGCGTGGCTCTCCCGGGCGTTTGATTGGCAATGGCAGCGCCTCCCTTGGCTCTCCCCTCCCTCGTCAATGGGCCGTGCCACAGGGAGGGGCGCTGCTTTCCGGGGGCTCTGGACCCTCCCTCCGCCCTGCGGGGCCCTCGGCATGCCCCGCGGGCACGCTGCAGCGGGGGGCCCCGGGACCTGCACGCGATTCCCCCAGCACAGCATCCGCAAATCACTTACCTGCCAGCCCCGGCCCGCGGGAGCCTGGGTTGCCCTGGCAACCGGGGAGGAAATCAATCGCGCCCGCCAGCCAAGCAGAGCGCGCAGGGAGACGGGCAGCGTTTGGGGCACGGGGCCGCTCGCTGGCCCAGCGGGAACGCGGGGCGGGGGGGCGCACGCGTGATGTGGGGGCAAGTGGGGCCGCTGGGAAGCCTCGCTGATAGCACACGACTGGCAGGGGACACGGAGTCGCCCGGGTCACCCCGGGCCCAATAACAGAGGGTGCAATGGGACGTACTGGGGTTTTGTGTCCTCCACCTGAACGGCAAACCTGTGGATAGCGGGGGGCTTGAATGTGCGTATGGGGTGGGGGGCGTCTGTGCACGTTCCTGTGTTTGGGTGTGTTGCACGGGACAGGGGGCTGGGGGGTGTTTGTGTGCGAGCCGGTGTTTGGGGGTTTGTGTTGCACGTGACAGGGGGCTGTGGGTGGGAGAGGGAGGGGGGTGGGTGCATGAGCGTGCCGGTGTTTAGGTGAGTGTGTTGCATGCGACAGGGCTGTGGGGCTGTGTGTGGAGGAGGGAGACGCGTGTGCGCTGGCATGCGGAGCGTGTTGCGTGTGACAGCCAGCTCGGGGTGCAGGGCTGGGCTGAGCTGGGCTCACACTCCCTGACCGGGCCAGGGCTCTTTGAACTGTTCATCTGACAGACGACGCGCAAAGCACGATTTCCACGCCGGCTTAGGCACGATCTGCTCCCGGAGAGACTATCCCGCTGCAAAGCTGGATCCACACACTGGCTGACGCCCCTTCCCCGCGGCGGGGCCAGGAGAACACCCTGGGCTCCGCTCTCCAGGGAAGGGAAGGCCAGGCGAGCAAAGGGGTGCAGGGACTAGCTCAAGGCTCTGGAGCTGGTGTCTGAGCTGGGCCTGGAGCTGCCTCAGCCTGGCCCAGACCCCTCCTCCGCCACTCCGGGAGGGGAGGGAGCACGTGGTTGTGTTTGCAGGTGCGTATCTGTGTGCGGTGTGGGGCTGTCTCTGATTGTGTCTACACCAGAGTCTGGCGAGCGCCACCCAACGGGGGAGCAGCGTGATGGGTTGGGGCTGCCCAGGCCCCGGGAAAGGGTCAGAGGAGAGCTAAGGGGATTCTCCATGGCTGATCTCTGTTTGTCCCATCCTCCCCTGAGCGCCTCTTTCAGGCCAGAGCCACAGCCACACCGAGGGCAGGACCTGGGCACTTTCTACAAGAATCTGGGTATAAACCCGGGTCAGACCCTAACACGGATCAGTCGATTCCCACCACTCTCCCTTACCCCTCCCTGGAGCTTCAGCTGGACAAGGAATTCTTCTTCACCTCCTGTCCCACTCTGTGGTGCTGGGTTGCTGAGTGCTGTTAAACAGCTGCTGCGCCCTGCCCCAGAGGTGGCTGCATTTCCGACCTGGGCGCGTGAGTCTTGTGCAGCGTTGGTGTGCGCTGTTAAACAGCTGCTGCGCCCTGCCCCAGAGGTGGCTGCATTTCCGACCTGGGCGCGTGAGTCTTGTGCAGCGTTGGTGTGCGCTGTTAAACAGCTGCTGCGCCTGCCCCAGAGGTGGCTGCATTTCCGACCTGGGCGCGTGAGTTTGTCAGCGTTGGTGTGCCTGTTAACAGCTTGCTCCCTGCCCCAGAGGTGGCTGCATTTCCGACCTGGGCGCGTGAGTCTTGTGCAGCGTTGGTGTGCCCTGTTAAACAGCTGCTGCGCCCTGCCCCAGAGGTGGCTGCATTTCCGACCTGGGCGCGTGAGTCTTGTGCAGCGTTGGTGTGCGCTGTTAAACAGCTGCTGCGCCCTGCTGAGTCCTGTAGAGGCAGCTGCCATGGCGCACCCCAGGAGAGGCTGGCTTTTGGTGAGGGGAAGGGCTGGGAGCTGTCGGCCGGTAGCCGCGAGGCAGGCTGCCCCTGACCCCCCATCCCCTCTTTCCTGCCAGCAGAGCCATGGGGGTGCTGATGTCCCGGCGCCAGACGGTGGAGCAGGTGCAGAAGGTCAGCCTGGCCGTCTCCGCTTTCAAGGACGGGCTGCGGGAGCGGCCCTCCACCAAGCGCAAGGCGGAGGCGTGGGGCGGGCGCCGGGGGACACTGGAGCACGAGGTGCGGGAGGTGCAGGAGGAGGAGGAAGAGAGGCCGGAGGCCGCTGGCCCCTCGCAGACGCAGCGGGAGGAGAGCCATGCCAACCGGGCGGCCTGGGAACGGCTGCGGGACGGACGGGGCGTGGAGCCAGAGGAGTTCGACCGCGCCAACCGCTTCACACCGCCGGCCTTCGTCCGGCCCACGCGCGAGCTGCACGATGACGAGCCGCTGGAGATCAGCCTGGAGCAACGGGAGCAGGTGAGTGCTGGGGGGTACCGGGCATGGAGACGGGGGAGTCCAGGTGGACACTTTAGAGGAGCCGGCGTAACCTGCTCTCCCCGTCACTCCCCAGACTGGGGCAGGCACCAGCAGCCAGTGAGTGGGAAGGGGCAGGAGGCTCCCAGAGCTTGGGACTGGCAGATGGACCCGCTGCTCCAGGGCAGGTCAAATCCCCTCGTCCTGGGCGCCAGGGCCCAGCGGGGGACCATGCCGAGGTGGGCGACGCCGCGGGTGCTGCTGAAAGCCCCCGGCTGCCCCTCGGTGTGGGGAGACCGTCTGGGTGCTGCAGGCCCATGGCACAAGTCACTGCAGCAATCACAGCCACGGGCCATGGGGGGCTTGGCCCCCTCCTGCCTTAACCTTTGACCCTCGGCCACAGGCCTGCAGCCTGGGTCAGCTTGGCAGCACGTGTGGGGGAGGGGGGGGGGGCATGGGTCCCCGCTGTGCCCAGGCCTGTGGCCTGGGGGTGTTTGTGCTGCTCTGGATGCCACTGGCCGGTGGGTGCTGGAGAAGGGTCACGTGCACAGGGAGTTGGGGCTCTTGGCCCTAGAGAGGCCTTTATGGTCCCCAGGAAAGGAGCCCAGCCAGCCGTGCCAGCCTGCCCAAGCCGAGCGGAGAGCCAGGGCCCCTCCACCCCGACCCCCCGCTCCCCCGGCCCTGGGCTCGGCGCCCCTCAACCCCGACCCCCCTCTCCCCCGGCCCTGGGCTCTGCACTCAGTACGTCTAGCACCTGTCGGCCCTCGGCTGCAGCGCTCCCCCATGGGCCAGGGGCTGATCTGCTGATGCCCTCGAACGGCCCGTGCAGTGCTCCCCACAGCTCCAGGGCCCAGGCCCCTCAGTCCTGACCTGCAGCCCCCCACTAGGGGCTAGAGAGGCCACGGAGAGACCTGGTGACCCCGGGTGTGGGGGGGGGGTTCCACAGCGCAGGCAACCTCAGCTTGGGGACAGGGAGAAGGAGCTCCCCATCTGTCCATCCTTCCTGTACACATCCCTCCCCCTACACACCCCTCCATCTATCCCTCCCTCCATCCCCATCCCTCCCTCCATTCCCCCCTCCATCCCCATCCATCCCTCCATCCATCCCCCATCCCTCCATCCCACCCCATACACACCCCTCCCTCCCTCCCTCCCTCCATCCCCATCCCTCCCTCCCTCCATCCCTCCATCCCCATCCATCCCTCCATCCATCCCCCATCCCTCCCCATACACACCCCTCCCTCCCTCCCTCCAGCCCCATCCCTCCCTCCCTCCATCCCTCCATCCATCCGCATCCCTCCATCCCTCCATCCATCCCCATACACACCCCTCCCTCCATCCTTCCCTCCCTCCCTCCATCCATTCCCATCCCTCCCCATCCACACCCCTCCCTCCATCCCTCCCCATCCCTCCCTCCCTCCATCCCCATCCATTCCCATACACACCCCTCCCTCCATCCCCATCCATCCCCATCCACACCCCTCTCCTCCCTCCTTCCCTCCCTCCATCCCCATCCCACACCCCCTCTCCATCCCTCCTTCCCTCCATCCATCCCCATCCCTCCCCTTACACACCCCTCCATCCATCCATCCATCCATCTGTCGCGGAGTGTGGGGAGTCAGGCCCTGCACCCCTCTTCCTGGGATCCACTGAGACTCTCAGCCAGCCAGTAAAACAGAAGGTTTATTGGACAACAGGAACACAGTCCACAACAGAGCTTGTGGGTACAACCAGGACCCCTCGATCACGTCCTTCTGGGGGAGCAGGGAGCTTAGACCCCAGCCCTGGGGTTCCCTTGTTCCTCTCCCCAGCCTCCAAACTCCAACTAACCCCACCCAGCAGGTTCCCTGCTGCAGCCTCTGTTCACATTCCTGGGCAGAGGTTCACCTCCCCCTCCCCCTCCTGGCTCAGGTGACAGGCTCTCAGGTCTCCCATCCCCAGGGCACATTCCCAGGTCAACACCCCCCTCCCTGCTGAGTCACTTCTCACATCTCTCCCCCCTTCGAGACTAACTGAGCGGGGTCACTGTACCAGTGACCTGGGAAGTTCGGGGCCCCCTCTCCGGGACAGCGATCCCTATCAGGTTGGCACTTCCCTTCACGTGGACCACGTCCATGTCGTAACCTCAGGAGCAGGCTCCATCTCAGGAGCTTGCGTTGCTCCTTTCATCTGGTGCAGCCAGGTCAGGGAGAGTGGTCGGTGTACAGTGAATGCCCCCAAGAGATAGGGCTCTAGTTTCTTGAGGGCCCACACCATGGCCAGGCACTCTTCTCGATGGCCGTAGTGTTGCTCCCTAGCAACTTCTTGCTCAGGTCACGATGGGGTGTCTCCCCCCTTTTCATCCTCCTGCATTAACACCGCCCCCAGTCCCGTGTCGAGCGCGGTGAACACCACAAAGGCCTTGTCAAAGTCCGGGTTCGCCAGAACTGGCACTGACCAGAGCCTCCTTCAGCGCCCGGAAGCCACCTGGCACTGCCGGTCCAGCCACCTTGTCTGGCTTCCCCTTCTTGCATAGCTCAGTGATGGGGGTGGCTATGGCCTAAAGTGGGGCACAAATCTTGGTAGTATCCTGCCATCCCAATAAAGGCTTGACCTCTTTTTGGTGTGGGGAGCGGGCGTCTCTGATCACCTCCACCTTGGCTGGTTCCCTTTAGGCGCCCTCCCCACCCGATGGCCCAGGTAAGACACTTCCGCCATCCCCACCTTGCACTTCTCCGCTTTACAGTCAGCCCACCCCTGGAGTCGGTCCAACTTGTCTAACCTGGGACACGTGGTCCTCCCAGGTCTGGCTAAAGACACAGATGTCATCAATATACGCCACGGCAAAACTCTCCATCCCCCTCAGAGCTGGTCCACCAGGCGTTGGAAGGTGGCCGGCGCTCCCTTGAGGCCGAAAGGCAGGGTCAGGAACTCATGAGCCCCAGAGGGGTGATAAAGGCCATTTCAGTCGGGCATCTGCATCCAGCGGCACTTGCCAGTAGCCCTTTGTAAGGTCCATGGTGTAAGGTACCGAGCTCCTCCCAGTTTGTCTAGGAGCTCGTCCGCTGGGCATGGGGTAGGCATCAGATACAGTGATGGCATTGAGCTTCCGATAGTCCACGCAGAACCGACCACCCGTCCTTTTGGGGACCAGCACCACCGGCGAGGCCCAAGGGCTGGCAGATGGCTGATCACCCCCAAAGCCAGCATGTCCCGGACCTCTCTTTCCAGGTCCTGAGCAGTTTTCCCTGTGACTCAAGGGGAGATTTATCGGCGGGTGCGACCCTGTCTGCACCCGGTGGACAGTCAGATTAGTGCGTCCAGGCTGGTTGGAAAACATGTGGTACGGATGCAGCACCCCCCTGACCTCAGCTTGCTGGGCAGGGGTTAGCTGATCCGAGAGGGGTTGTTTCCAGGGGGAACCAGCTCTGTCCCAGGGAATAGATCTACTAAAGGGTCATCTCCCTGCTCTTCCCACTGTCCACACACGCCAACACCACATCCCCCTGGCAATATGGCTTCATCATATTCACATGGTACACCCGCGGTGGTGCGCCGTTCGACAGCTCCACCACATAGTTTACCTCATTGAGTGCTTGACGACTTGAAAGGGCCCTCCCAGGCGGCCTGTAGTTTGTTCTTTCTCACAGGATGAGAACCATCACCGGATCCCCGGTGGCGAGGCACGGGCCCTTGCCGTGGGTCATACCAGACCTTCTGCTTCTTCTGGGCTCTGCGATTCTCCTGGCCAGCCCATGAGTTCAGCCAGTCTCTCTCGGAAGATCAGGACATACTCCACCACTGACTCTCCATCGGGAGTGGCCTTCCCTCCCACTCGTCTCTCATCAGGTCCAGGGGCCCTCACCCTCCTTCCATATCAGTTCGAAAGGCGAAAATCCAGTAGATCCTGGGACCTCCTGTACGCGAACAGCAGGTGAGGTAAGTACTTGTCCCAACCTGCGGGTGCTGGTTCATAAAGGTTTTCAGCATCATCTTTAGCGTCCCGTTAAACCTCTCCACCAGCCCGTTGACTGGGGGTGTAAGCGAGGCCAGTCGTGGGACCCCACATTTCTCCCACAAGCACCAGCAGGGCCACATGAAGTTGGGTTGGTCTGTCAGATTCCTTGGGGACCCCACTGGCTGAAAATGGTCAGGAGCGCATCCCCGGTGTCTGCTTCAATGGGCTAAGGGCACTGCCTGGGGTAGCGGGTGGCAAAATCTACCACCACCAGAATGTATTTCTTCCCGACCGGGTCGTCTTGCTGAGAGCCCACGATGTCCATGGCCACCTTCTGGAAAGGCTCCTCTTGATGGGCAAGGTCTCAAAGCGCTTCCCCTTGTCCCGGGCCTTCCCACCCTCTGACAGGGGTCACAGGATGCATGCGACGTGGTAAAGACCCCGGCGTAAAAGTTCTGTACAACCTCTGCCGGGTGCGCCATTCCCTGGTGCCTGCGGGGGATGTCATGGGCCAGGTACAGGAGCTTCGGGTACTCTGGGGACCACCAGCTCCTCCTGATCCCACAGGACTCTACTTCCTTGTGGGAGCCCATTCTGGTACAGGAACCCCTTCTCCCACAGGAACCTCTCCTGCAGCCTCTCCTCTGGTCGTACCACCCGAGGTCGGCCGGTCCCTGAGCTTCCGCAAGGAGGGATCTTTCCTCAACTGCTGAACTCAGCGGCTGGGAAGGGATGGGGACCGGTTCCCCCTCAGTGGCCAGGTCTGAGGCCTCAGCCTCTCTGCGTGCCCCTCGGCCCTCCCTTCCCACCAGGTAGGGTCCTCTCCGGTCGGTACCCTCCCGGGTCAGGAGCAGTGGCCTGCCGCTCTGGTCGGGTCCAACCAGGGCGGTCTGGGGCTTGCTTGGCGTCCTCTAGGTCTCCCCCCATCAAAACTTCAGTGGGCAAATGGTGGGCCCCCCACATCCTTGGGGCCCTCCTTGGCCCCCCATTTCAGGTGACCTGCGGGCACCTTAAATGGGGTCCCGCCCACCCCTGTCAGGGTCGGTAGGTGTTGGGCGTCTGGGGCCCACCTCGCGCGGTCACTCCCGTATCCCGTATCCATTGACCTTCCTCCCATCCACCTCCAGGGGAACAAGGCACTCTCTCCGGAGGGACAGCCCCGCGCCCACCCTGTAAACTGAGCACCCTGAGTCCAGAGCCTCCAGCCCTCTGGGGAGCTGGCTGGGGTACTCTTCCCCTGAGCAGGTGGTAAACTGGTGGCCCCCTTTCCTGGGTGTCTGCCCCTCGTCCGCTGGGTCCCTACCCACTAACCCTGGGTAGGTTGGGTCTGCTCGTTTGTCCCTGGCCCGGGCCTGGGACGTGGGCCTCTGGCCCGTGTGCGCTAGGTCCGTTGGTCCCCGGCGGTCGGGGGTCCCCGGTCTTTCCTCCACCACCCCTCCCTCCCTCCCCTCCCTCCCTCCATCCCCATACACCCCCTCCATCCCTCCCTCCCCTTACACACACACACACATCCTCCATACCCATCCGTCCCTCCCTCCACCCATCCATCTCTCCCCATACGCACCCCTCCATACTCCTACACACCCATCCCTCCATCTCTCATCCATACCCCTCCATCCGTCCCTCCCCATACACACCTCTCCATCCCTCCCCTTACACACCCCCTCTATCCCTCCATCCCTCCCCATCCCCCTACACATCCATCCCTCTACACACCCCTCCATCCCTCCCCTTACACACACCCTCTATCCCCCATCCCTGCCTATACACACCCCTCCGTCCCTCCATCCCTCCCCTTACACACCGCTCCATCCAACCATCTATCCATCCATCCATTGCCATACACACCTCTCTAGCCACCCCTCTCTACCCCCCACAGCCCTCTGTCTTTCTCCCCCCCGACACACACCCCTCCTCCATCCATCCCCATATGTACCCATCAATGCATCTGTCCACTGCCCTCTCTCTCATGTGGCCCCCATCCCCAAAGGAGCTGAGCCCCCTTCTCCCCGCACACAGCCCCCTCGCTAGTTACAGATCCTGGCCTCGGGGCCTTGCGCCCTGCATTGCTGCCCTGGGCAGGCCGAGGGAATGGGGGAGCGGGGCGCCGAGGCGGTCCGTGTGACGGGTCCCCGCCTGCTCACCCCGCCCCCCGCCTGCCACGCCCAGGTGAGCAGCGACGAGATGTGCGAGATCTGCGAGGTGTGGACGGCGGAGAGCCTGTTCCCCTGCAGGGTGTGCACCCGGGTCTACCACGACGGCTGTCTGCGTCGCATGGGCTTCCTGCACAACAGCAGCGCCGTGGAGGTGACGGAGACGGCGCACACCGAGACGGGCTGGAGCTGTTACTACTGCGTGAGTGTGGCGGGGGGCGCAGCCCTAGGGCCAGCCCCGGGCCCCACGGCTCCCTGGGGAGCGCACGAAGGGTGGGCAGGGAGCTCCGAGCTGGGGACGCCCACAGCAGGCTCTGCCCGGGCAGCAGCAGACAAGCACCCGACCCCTGCCCCATGGGGTGAGCTGCGCCCTGACCTGCCCCGAAGCCCAGGGCCGTGCCTGGGCCAGGGCCCCGCTGCCCCATGGGGCACAGGGCAGGAGCCAGAGGCTGACGGAGGCACCTGGCTGGGCCCACACCCGCACGGCAGAGGCTCCGCTTCCCATAACCGAAACCCTGTGTCCCCCCCAGCCCCTTCACCCCCCCGCCGAGCCCAGACAGACGGTGTCACTCCCGACAGCCCTACAATAACACCCCAGCGCCCCCACCCCCCCACCATTCCCCAGCAGCCCTACAATAACACCCCAGCGCCCCCACCCCCCCACCATTCCCCAGCAGCCCTACAATAACACCCCAGCGCCCCCCCAGCATTCCCCAGCAGCCCTACAATAACACCCCAGCGCCCCCACCCCCCCCAGCATTCCCCAGCAGCCCTACAATAACACCCCAGCGCCCCCACCCCCCCCCCCCCCCAGCATTCCCCAGCAGCCCTACAATAACACCCCAGCGCCCCCACCCCCCCCCAGCATTCCCCAGCAGCCCTACAATAACACCCCAGCGCCCCCCACCCCCCCCCCCCCCAGCATTCCCCAGCAGCCCTACAATAACACCCCAGCGCCCCCACCCCCCCAGCATTCCCCAGCAGCCCTACAATAACACCCCAGCGCCCCCCCACCATTCCCCAGCAGCCCTACAATAACACCCCAGCGCCCCACCCCCCAGCATTCCCCAGCAGCCCTACAATAACACCCCAGCGCCCCCCCCCCCCAGCATTCCCCAGCAGCCCTACAATAACACCCCAGCGCCCCCACCCCCCAGCATTCCCCAGCAGCCCCCCCCCACAGCCCTACAATAACACCCCAGCGCCCCCACCCCCCCAGCATTCCCCAGCAGCCCTACAATAACACCCCAGCGCCCCCACCCCTACCCCACATAACACCCCAGCGCCCCCACCCCCCCCCCAGCATTCCCCAGCAGCCCCCCCCCCCCCCCCCCCCCCCCATTCCCCGCAGCCCTACAATAACACCCCAGCGCCCCCACCCCCCCAGCATTCCCCCAGCAGCCCTACAATAACACCACCCCCAGCGCCCCACAAACCCCCAGCGCCCCCCCCCCAGCAGCCCTACAATAACACCCCAGCGCCCCCACCCCCCCAGCATTCCCCAGCAGCCCTACAATAACACCCCAGCGCCCCCACCCCCCCAGCATTCCCCAGCAGCCCTACAATAACACCCCAGCGCCCCCCCCCCAGCCCCCGCCCCCACCCCCCCAGCATTCCCCAGCAGCCCTACAATAACACCCCAGCGCCCCCACCCCCCCAGCATTCCCCAGCAGCCCTACAATAACACCCCCGCCCCCAGCCCCCCCCCCCCAGCATTCCCCAGCAGCCCTACAATAACACCCCAGCGCCCCCACCCCCCCAGCATTCCCCAGCAGCCCTACAATAACACCCCAGCGCCCCCCCCCCCCAGCATTCCCCCAGCCCAGCCCTCCTCCCCAGCAGCCCTACAATAACACCCCAGCGCCCCCCCCCCCAGCATTCCCCAGCAGCCCTACAATAACACCCCAGCGCCCCCCCCCCCCAGCATTCCCCAGCAGCCCTACAATAACACCCCAGCGCCCCCCCCCCAGCATTCCCCAGCAGCCCTACAATAACACCCCAGCGCCCCCCACCCCCCAGCATTCCCCAGCAGCCCTCCCCCCCTCCCCAGCAGCCCTACAAAACACCCCAGCGCCCCCCAGCTTCCCCAGCAGCCCCCACCCCCCCCCCCCCCCAGCCATTCCCCAGCAGCCCTACAATAACACCCCAGCGCCCCCCCCCCCCCCCCAGCAGCCCTACAATAACACCCCAGCGCCCCCACCCCCCCAGCATTCCCCAGCAGCCCTACAATAACACCCCAGCGCCCCCACCCCCCCAGCATTCCCCAGCAGCCCTACAATAACACCCCAGCGCCCCCACCCCCCAGCATTCCCCAGCAGCCCTACAATAACACCCCAGCGCCCCCACCCCCCCAGCATTCCCCAGCAGCCCTACAATAACACCCCAGCCCCCCCATCCCCCAGCACCCTACAAAACACCCCACCCCCACCCCCCATTCCCCAGCAGCCCTACAATAACACCCCAGCGCCCCCACCCCCCCAGCATTCCCCAGCAGCCCTACAATAACACCCCAGCGCCCCCCAGCATTCCCCAGCAGCCCTACAATAACACCCAGCGCCCCCCCCAGCATTCCCCAGCAGCCCTACAACCCCCAGCGCCCCCCCCCAGCATTCCCCAGCAGCCCTAACTCCCCACGCCCCACAATACACCCCACCCCCCAGCGCCCCCTACAATAACACCCCAGCGCCCCCCCAGCATTCCCCAGCAGCCCTACAATAACACCCCAGCGCCCCCCCCCCCCAGCATTCCCCAGCAGCCCTACAATAACCCCGCGCCCCCCAGCAGCCCTACAATAACACCCCAGCGCCCCCACCCCCCAGCATTCCCCAGCAGCCCTACAATAACACCCCAGCGCCCCACCCCCCAGCATTCCCCAGCAGCCCTACAATAACACCCCAGCGCCCCCACCCCCCCAGCATTCCCCAGCAGCCCTACAATAACACCCCAGCGCCCCCCCCTCCCCAGCATTCCCCAGCAGCCCTACAATAACACCCCAGCGCCCCCCCCCCCCAGCATTCCCCAGCAGCCCTACAATAACACCCCAGCGCCCCCACCCCCACCCCCCCCAGCCCCCAGCATTCCCCAGCAGCCCTACAATAACACCCCAGCGCCCCCCCCCCCAGCATTCCCCAGCAGCCCTACAATAACACCCCAGCGCCCCCACCCCCCAGCATTCCCCACCCTCCCCCCACAGCCCTACAATAACACCCCAGCGCCCCCACCCCCCAGCATTCCCCAGCAGCCCTACAATAACACCCCAGCGCCCCCCCCCCCAGCATTCCCCAGCAGCCCTACAATAACACCCCAGCGCCCCCACCCCCAGCATTCCCCAGCAGCCCTACAATAACACCCCAGCGCCCCCCCCCCCCAGCATTCCCCAGCAGCCCTACAATAACACCCCAGCGCCCCCACCCCCCAGCATTCCCCAGCAGCCCTACAATAACACCCCAGCGCCCCCCCCCCCAGCATTCCCCAGCAGCCCTACAATAACACCCCAGCGCCCCCACCCCCCCCAGCATTCCCCAGCAGCCCTACAATAACACCCCAGCGCCCCCACCCCCCAGCATTCCCCAGCAGCCCTACAATAACACCCCAGCGCCCCCACCCCCCAGCATTCCCCAGCAGCCCTACAATAACACCCCAGCGCCCCCACCCCCCCAGCCCTATTCCCCCCAGCGCCCCCCCAGCATTCCCCAGCAGCCCCACAATAACACCCCAGCGCCCCCACCCCCCCAGCCCCCCCCAGCCCCCAGCAGCCCTACAATAACACCCCAGCGCCCCACCCCCCCAGCATTCCCCAGCAGCCCTACAATAACACCCCAGCGCCCCCACCCCCCCAGCATTCCCCAGCAGCCCTACAATAACACCCCAGCGCCCCCACCCCCCAGCATTCCCCAGCCCCCCCCAATAACACCCCAGCGCCCCCACCCCCCCAGCATTCCCCAGCAGCCCTACAATAACACCCCAGCGCCCCCACCCCCCCAGCATTCCCCAGCAGCCCTACAATAACACCCCAGCCCCATTCCCCAGCAGCCCTACAATAACACCCCAGCGCCCCCACCCCCCCAGCATTCCCCAGCAGCCCTACAATAACACCCCAGCGCCCCCACCCCCCCCAGCATTCCCCAGCAGCCCTACAATAACACCCCAGCGCCCCCACCCCCCCAGCATTCCCCAGCAGCCCTACAATAACACCCCAGCGCCCCCACCCCCCCAGCATTCCCCAGCAGCCCTACAATAACACCCCCACCCCCACCCCCCAGCATTCCCCACCCCCAGCCCCCAGCAGCCCTACACATAACACCCCAGCACCCCCCCCCCCCAGCATTCCCCAGCAGCCCTACAATAACACCCCAGCGCCCCCACCCCCCAGCATTCCCCAGCAGCCCTACAATAACACCCCAGCGCCCCACCCCCCCAGCATTCCCCAGCAGCCCTACAATAACACCCCAGCGCCCCACCCCCCCAGCATTCCCCAGCAGCCCTACAATAACACCCCAGCAGCCCCCCACCCCCCCCCCAGCATTCCCCAGCAGCCCTACAATAACCCCCCCCCCCCAGCGTTCCCCACACCCCCCCCCCCCCCCAGCATTCCCCAGCAGCCCTACAATAACACCCCAGCGCCCCCACCCCCCCAGCATTCCCCAGCAGCCCTACAATAACACCCCAGCCCCCCACCCCCCCAGCATTCCCCAGCAGCCCTACAATAACACCCCAGCGCCCCCACCCCCCAGCATTCCCCAGCAGCCCTACAATAACACACCAGCGCCCCCACCCCCCAGCATTCCCCAGCAGCCCTACAATAACACCCCAGCGCCCCCACCCCCCCAGCATTCCCCAGCAGCCCTACAATAACACCCCAGCAGCCGCAGCCCCCCCCAGCATTCCCCAGCAGCCCTACAATAACACCCCAGCGCCCCCCCCCCCCAGCATTCCCCAGCAGCCCGACAATAACACCCCAGCATGCCGCAGCCCCGCGCTCGCGCCTGTAACCTGACAACAGACCTCGCGATGTTCAGAACAAAATGCAAAACCTGCTTTGTCACTTCGGCTTTCCCCTGCCAAACCCTGCTCGACCCCGCTGCGTGACACCGCACTGCACGCACACCCCTCCACACGCACACGCGTGTGCACATCACCCCGCCCCCGTCCACACGCACAGAGCACAGCTTCCCTCCCGTAACATGTGGCCTGCAAGCGAACTGAGCTCGTTCCACTGCACACCGGGAAGGGAGAAAGAGACAGACGGGTGGCTCTCCGTATTTCCATGGCTACACGCTTGGGAGGCGCCAGATGCTGCTGGGATGGGGCTGGCAAAGTCCCTGGCGGGATTACGGATCCCGCCAGGCAGCTGGGATGGAGCTCCGGGGCTGTTCCCCAGGTGCTAACGAACCCCTGGGTGTTTCTCTCTGAACGTCTCTCCCTGCGGCAGGATAACCTCAACCTCCTGCTGACGGAAGAGGAGATGTACAGCCTGATGGAGACCTTCCAGCAATGCAAGATCATCCCCGGTGAGTGCTGCCCTTCGCCCCGCCTCACGCTGCAATGTACTGGCCCCTGGGTGTGTATATTGCTCCCCCTAGGGGCTACAGAAGATAAAAGCTCTACTACGGCTGACAGCTGGTGGAGTTTCTCCTTTAACTCAAGCAGAGAGACCAGGGTTTGCGGGCCCAGAGTTAGGCCCATTCTGTACACGTGTGGGATACCTAGAGCCTCACACAGGCACCCCGAACTCCAGCAGCGCACCCCCAGTTCTGAAAGCCCTGGGTCAGCAGGTGAGCAAGATTTTGGGCCCAGATTTGCTCCTTGTTTATTCAGCTGCCAAGACCTACACTCAGGTTCCATGTTCCCCTGGCCAAATCGAGGACATCAGAGGTGCCCAATGCAGAGTGTGCCTGTGATGTCATGGGGGTGGGGTGGCAAGGGACCCCGGGAGGCCTGGCTGCAGGTCCCGGCTGGGGAGTGGACCAGCGTGATTGTGACGGCAGCGCCGGCTCCTTTGGCTGGGCGGGGACCCGCGGGTCAGCGCTCTCCCCTGGGCGCAGCACAGGGCTGACGAGCGCCGGGCTTGGCCTTGCAGAGACCTGCCTGATGCAGGACAGGTTCCTGCACTACAAGCAGCTGGTCCACCAGCGCCACTTGGACAGGCCGATGAGCGAGGAGCAGGAGGAGCGAGCTGCCCTGCAGTTCTCCGCGCTGGACCCCGACAAGAAGGGCCACGTCGAGTGGCCGGATTTCCTCTCCCACGAGTCCATCGTGCTGCTGCAGAAACTCCGGCCACAGGTACTGAGACAACCCCCCCCCCCCACGAGCGCACGGAGCCGGGCCCCCTGGGCAATGCCACAGGGCGGGGGCTGGGCACCCCGTGGAGGCCAAGGGGGATCCTTGAGCATCCTAGAGACTGCCCCAGTGCCTCTCCCCATCCCAATGAGCTGCCCATTCCTCGAGATCTCTCTTTCTGCCCAACTTCTGTTTGTGTGTCCGGCCCTCCCCATATCGTCTATCATCTATCTATTCCCATCCACCCCCTGTATCTATCTAATCTATCTATCTATACATCCCCACACATCCCCTCTATCTATCTATCTATCTATCCATCCCCACACATCCCCTCTATCTATCTATCTATCTATCTATCTCCATCCACCCCCTCTATCTATCTAGCTATCTACCTTAGTTATTTTAGAGCACCAATCTCCAGGGTTCATACCCAACACACCAAAGCAGACTGTGAGGAGTCACAAAGGGATCTCACAAAACTGGGTGACTGGGTAACAAAATGGCAGATGAAATTCAAAGTAAATGCAAAGTAATGCACATTGGAAAGCATAATCCAAACTATACATATAAAATGATGGGTCTAAATTAGCTGTTACCACTCAAGAAAGATCTTGGAGTCACTGCGGATACTTCTCTGAAAATATCCACTCGATGTGCAGCGGCCATCAAAAAAGGGAACAGAATGTTGGGAATCATTGGGAAAGGGACAGAGAATAAGACAGAAAATATCATGTTGCCTCTCTATAAATCCATGGTACACCCACACCTTGAATACTGCATGTGGATCTGGTCGCCCCATCTCAAAAAAGATCTATTGGAATTGGAAAAGGTTCAGAAAAGGGCAACAAAAATTATTAGGGGTACGGAACGGCTGCCATATGAGGAGAGATTAATCAGACTGGGACTATACAGTTTGGAAAAGAGACGACTATGGGGGGATGTGATAGAGATCTATAAAATCATGACTGGTGTGGAGAAAATAAATAAGGAAGTGTTATTTACTCCTTCTCATAACGCAAGAACTAGGGGTCACCCAATGAAATGAATAGGCAGCTGGTTTAAAACAAACAAAAGGAAGTATTTCTTCGCACAACGTACAGTCAACCTGTGGAACTCATTGCCAGGGGATGTTGTGAAGGCCAAAAGTATAACTGGGCTCATAAAAGAACTAGATAAGTGCATGGTGAACAGGTCTATCAATGGCTATTAGCCAAGATGGTCAGGGATGCAACCCCATGCTCTGGGTGTCTGTAAACGTCGGGACTGCCAGAAGCTGGGAATAGATGACAGGGGATGAATCACTCAAAATTGTCTTGTTCTGTTCCTTCCCTCTGAGGCCAGCACTGGCCACTGTCAGCAGACAGGATACTGGGCTAGCTGGACCATTGGTCTGACCCAGTGTGGCTGTTCATATTTTCGAGTGGCTGGTCCACAAAAGAGGATAAGAGCCTACTAATGCAGGCACCCAAGGAACTTCTCCTTTTGCTCCAGCCCTAGAGGCTCATACCTTCCCATGCTGAGAGAGAGTCCCAGATTTGAACCCCTCTGTCCGCCCGAGAGGGGTAGATTATATGGAGGCCCCATCACTAGATCAGCCTCCCCCTTTGTACGTCAGGCTGAGACAGTGGCCGTCCCAGCTGAGGTGTGGTCTCCTCTCCCCACACCAATCATCAGGATGGGGCTGAATTCCCACCGCCCCGGCCTGGGATAGCTGGAGAGGGACCTGCCCAGGACATCCCTCAGTGTTGCCTGGGGCTGGCATGGCTATGATGAACCCAACCCCTTGGCTTGTGTCCCTGTGCCTGAGGGGAGCTTTGCCCCCCTGCAGCCTCTCCAGCCATGCCCAGGAGCTCCAGCCAGCCCCCCTGTCCTCCTCCATTCTCTCCCTCCTGCAGAATTCCCTGCTACGGCTACTGACAGCCAAGGAGCGGGAGCGGGCGCGAGCCACCTTCCTGCCCCTCAACCAGGACGGCCAGGGGCTGATCAGTGAGGGCGAGTGCCGGAAAGCCCAGCACGCGTGGTTTCGGAAGCACCAGAAGGAGGCCCCGTCCTGCAATGTCAGGTAACGGGGCCGGGCTGCCCAGGGGGAGAACCCTTCCCCACACATGCTACGGACGAACCCCAGAGCCGGGGGAGCACCAGGAGGCCCAAACTCCTGGGGTTAGTTAGCGGGGCGATTCTACCCGGAACCCCTGCCCTGTGTCTTCCCAGCGTCAGCCAGACCCCCCGTCCCTCCCCCCGCATCCCCCCAAGCAACAGCTTCCACTTCCCGCTGCGTCCCCCCATCTCCCTCCCAGCTGCCTGAGATTGGCATGGGGAGCCCCCCATCTCCCCTCACACCCCTGACGCCACGTGCCCAGCGTGTGGGGCAGAGCTGCAGCACAGCCGGCCCTGGCAACGCACGTTCGTCATAAGGCTACCCCAGGGCGCCGGTGGCGTCCCAGCCCGGCTCCTGAGGCCCAGGGGCACGTCTGCAAAGGCGGGAAATGCCCTTTCTCCTCCGCAGCATCAGCCACGTGGGGCCCATGTCGGAGAGCAGCCCAGCCAGCAGTGGCAGCAGCCAGAGCCAGGAGAAGACCCTGCTGGGCACAGAGCAGGAGGAATCCAGGTGAGTGGGGCGGGGCGTGGGGGGAAGGTGGGTCCTGCCGCAGGAGTCTCCAGGCCCATGGCCACAGCCTCCGTTCAGCTCTGCTGGGCGCAGGCTAGCCGGGCTCCCCCACATCCCAGTGCAGCTTGTCCGGAGGGCCCCGCCCCACTGCTGGGGGGTGGGGTGTTAAAGGGGTATCATAGCAGGGTGGGGCTGGAAGGGTCCTGCAGAGCTCATCTAGGCCAGCCCCCTGCCAAGTAAACCTGGACCCCCCTTGGTGGGGGTTTGTCCTGCCTGGCCTTAAAAACCTCCAGAGATGGGGATCCTACCACCTCCCTTGGGAGCCTGCTCCAGAGCTTAACAACCTGAGCGTTAGAAAGCTTTTCCTAAGAGCCAACCAGCCGCTCCCTTGCTGCAGATTACGTCCTGTCACCATTGATCTCTGTCCCCTTTAGAACAGCCCTTGACACAGCCGAGGGCTGTTATCCGGTGGGTCGCCCATAGCCTGCTTTTCTCAGGACTAAACAATACGAGTCTGTTTCACAACTACCTCACCCCGTTGCCTGGTGTTCACCTGGCACCCACTCTAACGCCCCCAGCCTTTGCTGCAGTCCGACCACCCAGCGAGTCCCCTTGTACACTGGAGTTTTCCTTCCTAAGCATAGTGCTGGCGAGAAACCGGTGTGCCAGCATGGGCTGCTAGAGGTGCCATCTGCCGGGTCAGACTGAGCTGGTACCTCCTTGTGGTCAGTAGTAATTGCAGCTCGTTTCCCCAGTCGACCAGTGTCCTTGCCCCCATTTTGCACATGGGGAAAGTCTAGTGACTTGCCCAAAGTCACCCAGTAGGCGAGGAGCAGAGCCAGGACTAGAACTCCGGTCTCCAGAGTCCCACCCTAGTGCTCTATACACAGGCCCACACAGAGCCTCCGGTGCCTTTTTGCAAGAGTGGTGACATTTTCCAGGAAAACTTGTCTTCAGCAGCTTTCCTGGAATCCACAGAAAGGAGCAGCTTAATCAAGATGGCCTTCTTCGACAGTGGTTTGAGCATTGGCCTGCTAAACCCAGGGTTGTGAGTTCAATCCTTGAGGGGGCCATTTAGGGATCTGGGGCAAAAATTGGGGATTGGTCCTGCTTTGAGCAGGGGGTTGGACTAGATGACCTCCTGAGGTCCCTTCCAACCCTGATATTCTATGATTCTATGACAGCTAGAGCAGAGCTGCTCCCGTCAGCCCGGAGCGTCATGCTGATGGTCTCCCATCACAGCCAGCAGCAAACAGATGTATTGCTACCCCCCAGAGGTGGCTGCATTTCTGTAGTGGGGGGTGGTGGTGAGGGGAGTGATCCCTTTATATTCAGTCTGGAAAGCAGCTGGAGCATCTCCAGGGTAATGAAAAGCACTATAGATATATGAGGCAGACAGTGTAATTATCTCCCCCACCCCCACCCCCCAGTCCATGCGTCTGGAGAAAATGTTCTGTCTCCTATTAAAATCACTAGGTGGTTGAGGAAATTCACCCAGATGGGAAATCACCTCGGTAAGCTGGAGCTCCATGTATTTCATGGCGTTCAGTCCACGCAGAAAGGGCCAGCTTCATCGCTGAAGTTAACGGCGTCCCATCAGTGCAAAGCTGCAGGGACAGAGGGCTGAGCGGGGCTCTCTGTCTGCCAGACGCCTCGGCTTCTCCGCCCCGGGAAGGATCGTGTGATGGCGTCCCTTTCCCAGGCGGGCGGGAGCACTCTGGTTAAAGCACCCAGGCGTGGGTGTGTTTGGGAGCCCGGCTCGTTAGCAGAATCCTCCCAGGGGACAGATATCTGCTGGCAAGTGAATACATTTTGAAATGGAATAGTCCGCAAATCCTCTCTTCCTTTTCGTTCTCCTGCCCAGGAAAGAGGGAGCCGGGGCTAGTGGTTAGAGCAGGGGACTGAGCGTCAGGATTCCTGGTTTCTAGTCCTCTGTCACCGACGCACTGTGTGACCCAAGGCCCTTCCCCTCCCTGTGCCTCAGTTTCCCACCTGTACAAATGGTGCTGCCCTGTCTCCTGGGGGTGTGGGACGGCTCATTCACGTTTGTGAGGTGCTAAGTATTGTTAACTTAAGATCAGGATCCTCCATTTCCACGGTCACAGCACAGGCACAGACCCCTAAAGCCGCTCCGCGGCTGCTGCCAGACAAACCCCGGACTTCGGGGTCGGGCCCTGAAAGGTCGGAGGATGACGCAGCAGGTGGGCGGGCAGAAGACGCTGGAGCTGCGCCAAGTGCTGCGGAAACCAGCTGCTGGGCTGGAAAACGTGCTACTCTGTGCCCCTGCCACCTGTCGGCCCCCCTCATTGCCGGCTCCACCGCCCTGGCTGCTACGCAGGCCGGGAATCACGGGGAGGCCCCAGAGCGCTACCCTCCGAGCTCCTGTGTGCAGCTGCTTAGGGCGGGAGTGCCCCAACCCCCGGGGCCAGGAGCCTGCCAGCTGCACCGCGACTTGACTTGGAGACAAACACTGAGAAGCACTGAAGGCCCTGCAGGCACGAGGCTGGCGTTCCCGTAACACTCAGACATGTGCTAAGGGAAGGGTGTTTTACTGGGCAGGCAGGGAAGGGGAAGGTTGCCGATACCCTAGGTACCGAGGTTTGAACAGGTACGGTGCAAGGTGAGCAATAGCGGTTCTTGGTTGGGTCTGGGGGGCAGCCCACTCGAGGGTCATGCGTGGCTCTTCCATGCCGGGGCTGCCCTCTCCAGTCCGGGCTCTCGTCCAGCAAATAGGCGCGTGCAGGCTCCCAGGCCAGGATCACTTAGCAGTGTATCTAATCAGGGTCCTTCTGCCCTGGCTCCCTGCCAGCTGCCACACAGACCTGCACCCAGCTGTGATGTCCGGCCGTCACAGCCTTCCATCTGGGACTCTCCATCCAATTCCTGGGGGGTCCTCTCTGCAGCTCCTGGCTTGCCAGGCGGCTGCTGCTTCCCCTAGGTGCCCAGTCAGATCCCGGTTCAGGGTCTTTCATAGGGTTTCTGTGCCCCCTTACCTGGCCAGAAGGAAGGGGATGTGCAATGGGGCGGGGCTGATGGGAAATGTAGACCCCTGCTTAGCAGGTCCATCATGCCAGGCTCTGGTGAGGGGACCCTGTCTCCCCAGGGGTCCCTACAAAGGCAGAGCCCCTCATGCCCCGATGGAGCGTGGCATGCTGGGCTCTGTAGGGCCCATGGGCTTGCTGCTCCGTGGCCAGGCTGGGCTGGCCAGGAGCTGCCGCGTAGCACAGATGGGCTGGGCTGGGGACAGAGCCCTTGCCCATGTGGCCCCCACACTAAGCCCCCTCCGCTCTCCCCAGCAGGCTTGTCGACTGGCCGACCTTCCTGAAAGAGAGCGTCATCTACATCCTCGCCGCCCGCCCCAACAGCGCCGCCATCCACCTGAAGCCGCTGGCATAGCCGCTGCCCGGGACAGGGGCCGGGCGAGGGCTCCCAACCTGGACGATGCATGAGCGGGCGGGAGGCCGGATGCACGGAGCCCAGTCCTAGCCATTGTGTTCTGTATTCGCCGAGCTTGCAGCCGAAGGAGCTGACAGTCTGCTTCACCCGCCAGAGGGGCGCTCCAGCCTGCTGCCCCATCTCCCATGGGCCTCGGGTAGCCACACCCGGCTCCCCTCCCTCACCACGGCCCAGCAGACTTCGGATGGGTGGAGCGAGGCCCCAAACCCCGCACCACGCCCAGCCACACCCCCAGCTCAGTAGAGTTCTGGTTTCTGATTGGCTGAGAGGGAGCTGCCCCCCCCACACACACACCCCCACGAAATTCGGCAGACTTCTGATTAGTGGAGAGAGGACTGAACACAAACAGTCCAGCACCATTCTGGCTTCTGACTGGCAGAGAAAGCCCATGCAAGCCCCCACTTACGCGGCTGGACGGTTCCCAGAGTCGAGGTAGCCCTGTGCCGTCGCGACAGGTTGGCGGACCCCGGTGGCTGTGGACTAACGAGGCCCCTGCTGGCCCGGCAATGGCACGGGCGTGCCCGGTGGAGAGCAGAGGGAGGCATGTTGGCTGAGCTGGGGCAGCAAGGCCTGCGGGGCTGCCCTGCCGCTGGCAAGCTGGGCCGGGCACCGTCCCAGCCTCTCCCCTACTCTCTGGGACCCGCCCCCAGACACACGCCATCCACTTTCACCAAAGGCTCTCAGGGCTGGTCCCCAGCGGCCAGGGCAGTGTTACCCTCTCCGCTCTGCACGGTGGCTCTCGACACCCATATTCCAGCCTCCCTGTGTGAGCAGATCTCCGGCTGGGAGAGCAGCCTGCCGGGGAGCTGGGCATGGAGCAAGAGCTGAACGCCATGAGACCCCAGCTAGGACATGGCATACCGGGCCTGGGTCACCCCTCACCACCACCACCAGATCAGCAGTGTGACCGCCGCCACGGAGCTGCTCCTGGTTCACACCCGTCTCCTGGAGAAGAGTCAGACCCTGGTCTCTGTCCGAGCGACAGTCCTGCCCTGGCCGAGAGGGCTGGGTGGGGGACAGGGTGGATTCAGGGCAGAGCGGCTCCGTGTCCCCAGGAGCGGGCATGTGGGGAACTGCTTTCCTCAGGCTGGCAAATACCCGACCCACCGCTGCGGCTGCATAAACGAGCCACAGAGAACTCCCTTTGAGCAGCTCCACCTCCCGGGTCAGGCGCCAGGTGCTGCTCTGCCAGCCAGGAGGCCCATCAGGACAATCCTGAGAGCTGGGCGGTGTGTCGGCTGCTTGTCACGGGGCCGGCTTCCCCTCTCGCTCCCATCAGTGTCAGCTCCAGTGAAGTGAGTCGGGTTCACTGCGGTGTGGGGGAGGAGGATCAGGCCCCCTGTGTTTATGGAACGAGGACGTGGCCGGAGTTGTCGAAGCGTTGCCGCGAACGTAACCTGGCCTCGCCCCGGGATGTCTTTCTAGAAGACGCTTGCTAGCTCACTCACCAGTACTGGGCTGGATGCAGGCGTCATGGGGCGGGGTTAGGCAGGAGGGCAGGCTGGAGGGTCACAGTGGTCCCTTCTGGCCTTGCCATGCGTGAAGAAGGGAGACGAGTTTCTTGTATTTCTTAGTCCTCTCAAAGTTGTCAGACGCCAGCTACCTGCCTTGACTACACAGCATCGCACGTCTGCGAATTCCGAGCCCTCCGCCAGACTTTATGGAATCCGTAGCCACCCGTGACTTCACAGCCATAAGCCAGGATAGAAGTCATGCCCTCCTGCTCCAAAAGCACCGGCCAGTGCCCGGAGTCAAAGAAGAATCTTCTTTTACTGTTAGCCGTACAGGAGCTATGTAGGAGCTGAGCAGTTCCAGTTCCACCTACCGGGGGCAACGGTGACACATGTGCACTAGCTTTGCACATCTTTCACAGGCACAGTGCGAGCAGCCCCCATTGGCACTCGGGACCCGATAGCTGTTCATAACAGTGCCTCCTGTTCCCTACAAAGAGAAGCCAGTATTGCACCATGATGCAAGATCAGCAAACTCATCTGAGACGCTATCAGGAGGGACCAGATTTCCACCCCACCCAGCTTACCCACCACAGAACACGGCCGCAGGGACCAGCTACCTTATCATAGAATCATAGAATCATAGAATATCAGGGTTGAAAGGGACCCCTGAAGGTCATCTAGTCCAACCCCCTGCTCGAAGCAGGACCAATTCCCAGTTAAATCATCCCAGCCAGGGCTTTGTCAAGCCTGACCTTAAAAACCTCTAAGGAAGGAGATTCTACCACCTCCCTAGGTAACGCGTTCCAGTGTTTCACCACCCTCTTAGTGAAAAAGTTTTTCCTAATATCCAATCTAAACCTCCCGCACTGCAACTTGAGACCATTACTCCTCGTTCTGTCATCTGCTACCATTGAGAACAGTCTAGAGCCATCCTCTTTGGAACCCCCTTTCAGGTAGTTGAAAGCAGCTATCAAATCCCCCCTCATTCTTCTCTTCTGCAGGCTAAACAATCCCAGCTCCCTCAGCCTCTCCTCATAAGCCATGTGTTCTAGACCCCTAATCATTTTTGTTGCCCTTTGCTGGACTCTCTCCAATTTATCCACATCCTTCTTGTAGTGTGGGGCCCAAAACTGGACACAGTACTCCAGATGAGGCCTCACCAATGTCGAATAGAGGGGAACGATCACGTCCCTCGATCTGCTCGCTATGCCCCTACTTATACATCCCAAAATGCCATTGGCCTTCTTGGCAACAAGGGCACACTGCTGACTCATATCCAGCTTCTCGTCCACTGTCACCCCTAGGTCCTTTTCCGCAGAATTGCTGCCTAGTTATTCGGTCCCTAGTCTGTAGCGGTGCATTGGATTCTTCCGTCCAAAGTGCAGGACCCTGCACTTATCCTTATTGAACCTCATCAGATTTCTTTTGGCCCAATCCTCCAATTTGTCTAGGTCCTTCTGTATCCTATCCCTCCCCACCAGCGTATCTACCACTCCTCCCAGTTTAGTATCATCCGCAAATTTGTTGAGAGTGCAATCCACACCATCCTCCAGATCATTTATGAAGATATTGAACAAAACCGGCCCCAGGACCGACCCTTGGGGCACTCCACTTGATACCGGCTGCCAACTAGACACGGAGCCATTGATCACTACCCGTTGAGCCCGACAATCTAGCCAGCTTTCTACCCACCTTATAGTGCATTCATCCAGCCCATACTTCCTTAACTTGCTGACAAGAATACTGTGGGAGACCGTGTCAAAAGCTTTGCTAAAGTCAAGAAACAATACATCCACTGCTTTCCCTTCATCCGCAGAACCAGTAATCTCATCATAAAAGGCGATTAGATTAGTCAGGCATGACCTTCCCTTGGTGAATCCATGCTGGCTGTTCCTGATCACTTTCCTCTCATGCAAGTGCATCAGGATTGATTCTTTGAGGACCTGCTCCATGATTTTTCCAGGGACTGAGGTGAGGCTGACTGGCCTGTAGTTCCCAGGATCCTCCTTCTTCCCTTTTTTAAAGATTGGCACTACATTAGCCTTTCCCTTGAACCTTCCCCTTGAATGCAAAGGCGCAGCCTGCCCAGAATGCAGTGCCTTGACCCAACCCAAGCAGAGGGCACTTGGTTGGAGACAGAGCATTGCATGCTGGCATCTGTAGTCTCCGCGCCTACGTATTCATTAGGAAGGTGGCCATGGACTCCACCGGCTACTTGACCCACAGATCCCCCACCCCCGAAGCCTATAAAAGGGCCTGGATCAGCTTATGGCAGTGCATCAGGGGAGCTAGGAACCAGCCTGCATTCACGATGTCTAGAGCCGGTACAGGAGCTGTCAGAGTAGCAGCCGTGCTAGTCTGTATTCGCAAAAAGAAAAGGAGGACTTGTGGCACCCTAGAGACTAACCAATTTATTTGAGCAGAAGCTGAGAGCCTGAGAGAGGAGATCTATGGTGAGCAACAAGAGGTCACTGGATCCCTTAGCCTCTGGCAAGGGCAGGGATCAGAATCAGCAGGCTTGGGCCTCTCCAGGAGCAGTTCTGGGCAGAACTGAGGTTTGCTCTTGTGCTGTTTCTTCGGGCAGGGAAAGCAGAAGGTGTGAGGCTCCCACAGCAAGAGCTCTCCTGTGTAGACAGAGGCTCCGTGAGCTGCGCCGAGAACAGCAGAGAGGGCCTCCCCCCTCGGCGGGCTCTGCCTCTAATTAATAAGCACTTGGCCATCCCCAGAGCCAGCTGCATATGAGCTGAGCGGCTGCAGCAAATGCTGGCTCAGCTAAGGGGAGAGGGAAATCGGTCACAGTTCAACCTAGCGGAGATAAAATGGCTACATCAGGCATGGCCTGCTTCCTGGCCAGGCCCAGCCACCGCCGGAAATAAAGTCCTTCCTGACAGCTCTGCCTGGAGCACCACAGGACTCAGGAGGGAATTTCCACCCATGGGGCATTGTCACGTGTCGGGGGGTCACTTCGGAAGCACCCGATTGCCGCCCTTGCCACAGGCAGGATCCAAGACTTGCCGGAGGCAGGATCCAACTGTCTGATTCAGTGTGGCAAATGCTTTCGCTTTCGCTTTGCTAGATCGTCCAGTGGGCCTGGCTTGGGAAGGCTGAAAGGAGAGGACACAGCGCCAGAGATTGCTGGAGGAATCAATCCCATTGTGACGGGAGGGCCTAGGTGCAACCCCACCCCAGCGACAATGAGTCCATGGTCACTGTCTGGCCAGTGGGGTCGCTCTGTCTCCTGGGAAGCAGCTCATGGATGACCGCTCACTCCAGATCTTGCAGCTCTCCGTTCTTGGGGGTTCACTGGCCAATTAGCCTTGTTTCAAGTATATTCGGAGCACAACAGCTGTTGGCTTCTCAGGGACCTGCCCAGACCATCGTCCTGTTTTTAGAAGGAAGCCTGCCCTGCTGCCTGCAACGCCCTCTCCTGCTCCATCCCCGTCCATACACTATAGACTATAACCTTCCTCGTTACAGGCTTGCCCGAGTCACCGTCTCAGCAGCCCTGCCCCGCGTCCACTGGGACGGTGAATGTAACCTGGGGCCACACAGGGTGTGCGTGGGGTGGGCCTGGTGTGGGGAGAGGCTGAAGGATTGCTGCTGCTGAACGTAAAAAATTCAAGTGCACAGGAGTGACCCAAACAGGAGCCCAACCATGCTGTCTATCTAGGGGATTCCTCTGGCGCCTCTTGTCCTGGTGCGTGGGCACAGACGGCGTGGAGCAACACGCCCAGACTTTGTCACCACACGACTGTTGGCACCTTGCAAACAGCTGGCGAGCTGCACCAACCATGCCTAACCCGGAGCAGATTGTGCCCACCCGTACGGCCCCAGAGGAGGTGCAGGTGAGGAGACGACAGGCCCCAGCCCGCAGTGCCCCCCAGATCAAGGTGGAGCACAACATCCTGGGACCCACAGTCTCCACGCGCCACAGCCCTGCGTCAGAAAGGAGTGGAGCCGCGGGCTGCATTGCAACGCACCCTCGGTCACGTTCGGCCCGTGGGCGTCCCAGGCACGGACCACGATGCTGAGCCAAGGCCGCTCCCCTACCGGTCCTGCTTGTGAAAGCCGTCCCTCCGTGAGGCAGCCCATTTAACGGTGGCAGAGGGTTAGGGCCATGGAACTGCCCCAACAGACACCACCCGGGACATGGCCTGGCGAGAAGCCACGAGAGGCAGCTGCACGTCCGAGCCGGCCCTGCTCTCACACACGCGTCAGCCCCCAGCGGTGCCTTTCCTCCCCGGGGCAGTCGGGAGCAGCGCTTGCAGTGGGTCCAAGGCTCTCAGGCAGCTCTCGCAGCCGGTGTGCCAGGGACGAGCTGCACGTCCGAGCCGGCCCTGCTCTCACACACGCGTCAGCCCCCAGCAGTGCCTTTCCTCCCCGGGGCAGTCGGGAGCAGCGCTTGCAGTGGGTCCAAGGCTCTCAGGCAGCTCTCGCAGCCGGTGTGCCAGGGACGAGTGCTCCTCGTACTCTCACTCCAGGGCTGGCACATCGCCGAGTGCACTTCAGGATTGAAATGAGGGCAGCAGGAGAGCGCACTTACCAGGCAGGGATAATATACGGGGGGTTCCCTCCAAGAGGCCCACTGCTGAGTTAATGGGCCAGAGGAGACACGGGCAAAGGAAAGCTCAGGGACCCGGGGGCAGGTAGCTTCCTGGATCTTTCTGCTTGAGCCCAGGAGATAACCAAATGGGGAGCTATCCCCATGCACCCAGGGGATTTAGACATGTTCTCTATTGATATGAGGGCAGTCCTGTATCTGTACCCTCTGCGCCGCCCTGACGCCCTCAGCCTGCTTCTCTCTGGCTGGTGACCCAGGGTGATGCTCCAGCCCTGGGCAATGAAGGCTGCCCTTCGTTTGCGGGAAATGGAGCTGCGTGCAGCCTCCACCTTTAACAGAGGCCCGACCTGCGGAGACTACGCGTCCCAACATGCCTTGCAGCCTGTGCACGGCTGGGAAGTGTCGTCTCCGGGGGCCTGTGGTGGTGAGCCCCACGGGCTGGCTGGGGACACAGGTCTCGCTTGGCTCGCTGGGTAACAAGTGCATGGGTTACACCCAGCCAGCCAGGCCGCGTGGAGGCCAGGGTCAGGGGGGGCAGAGCCAGTCAGTTACCAAATTCCCACACCCCATGTGGCAGCTGGGGGGCACTGGACAGGTAAAGGGGCCCGTTCCCCTGCGCCTTGTGTGGAGCCCGACCCTTCTGCCTGGGCTGCATTTTACCCCCGCTTTGCACAGGTGCCAATGGCTGCAGCGGGAGCGGGGAGCATGGGGGAGTCAGCCCCCCAGGTTTGCTGAGACAGCCCCATGGCCTGCTGTCAGTGGGACCGGGGCAACGGCTGGTCATTGGGAGGTGCCGCGAGGCGTGAGAAGGGCTGTGCAGCGAGATGTGTTCATTAAACAGCTGTGTCCAACCTCGATAGATCTGTTGGTCTTTGGATTTCGGTATCGCTCGGTCACCAGCAGCTCGGGAGGGTTCCTAAGGGCGGTAACCCCGAGGGGCTGCTGCAATGACGCAGGGGTCCAGTGACCGTGGCTGGTGCACCCTGGGCCCGCGGCGCCTGGTGAGTCCGTATCCCAGTTGCTGAGATGGGAACTTCACGCAGTGGCCCATTCTGTCCTTGGACGCTGTGGCTGCCCTCGAGTGCCAATGGCTTGTGAGGTGACTCCCGGTTCCCTCGCTCCAGAGAGGCCATGAGCACTAGCCAGGGCAGGCCCAGACCCCCTGGGCCGAGCTCCCTAGCCAGGGGACTTGCTGTGAACTTGAACTCAGCTCCCTCCTGGGCCTTTGTTTAGCATCCTCGTCAGTGGCGTGGCCTGTGCAGCTCAGGCCTCAGCCCCTGGCGGGATACACTCCAGCAGTGGGCGCATCCAGTCTGGGCACTGGGATGGAGCCATCCAAAGCAGAGGGGGACAGGCTGCCAGGGCCCACCAGGACTATGCCTGGTGAGACACCGTCCAGCTCCGGCACTGCCCTGGTGCCCACGGCTGCAGTAACTGAGCACCACCCCAGCATTAGCCACCCAGTTATCCCCAGCTGGGGAACCACAGCACAGCGAGGTGACAGGACTCGCCCAGGGTCACGCGGGGAGGCTGTGGCCTTGCAGGGGCTTAGAACCCCGGTCTCCCAAGTCCTAGGCTAGTGCCCTGACCATTGGGCCATCCTTCTTGTCTGAGCCTCAGCCCGAGACACCAAGGCTCCTGCCTTGGGCTGGGCTCCTGTGAAGGGGCCGCGCTGGCTGCAGCTTTCGGGGGGCGGGGAGCTGAGGAAAGTGCAGGGGGGAGATGCTCTCTCCAGCCCCAGGCTCTTGCTCCCTGGAGTGCTGGGAGCTGTGCCCAGGCAATGCTCCCCCCCCACCCCCCTCCCCAGTCACAATGACCCCTCTTGTGTCTGGCTTCCCAGATCAGTGCTCTGGGCCCGGCAGTGGGGAACAGCTGGCTTGGCAAGGCAGCGACCCTGCTGGCCCGTTAACGAGCCCCTCGGGGGCTCCCGGCTGGTTACTGTCCTGCAGATGGAGCAGCGCCTTGGAGGCGGGCGTGAGCAGCCTGGGGCTTTGGGGGCCTGTTGGGAATGCAGCGGGGAAGGGGGAGGGGATGTACTGGTCTTGGAATACAGGATTATTGTGCAGAGGAAAAAAACCAGAGGCTGCATTTCAGAGCATGGAGCTTGTGAGGTGCTGAGTCACAGCCGCTGACAGCTCTCCCCAGCCTAGCCCAGAGCCGCTCCCCGCTCCCGGCCTGCTCTGAGGCAGGGGGTCTGGGGTGTTTACATGGGGCACATGTCTCTGGATTTCCCCCAGGGTAACTGGGAGCAGAATCTGACAGGTTGAGCTGATGCCGCCAGGCGGTTTGGGAGCCGGGCACAGGGCACGGGACATAAATGAAGAAGCAGCAGGTTCAGTGAAACAGCTGACAATGGAGCCCACCGGCCCAGCCCCCTCCCTGCACCCCACCACATCCTGCCAGGCGGAGGGGCAGCGGGAATTCCCACCCAGACGCAACTCTGGGGGAGGGGGCAGCAGGAATTTGGAAATCAGGACACCGGGCTAGACGGGGCACTGGTCTGACCCAGTCTGGCCGTTCTCCTGTTCTAATGGGTAGACGTCCACGCCCAGAATCAAGGACAAATTGTCCCTCCAAACCCCACATCTTTACATGCGATGGGTTGGAAGCTTGGTGGCTGAGCATTAGCCAGGGATTATAAGGTGATTTGTAAGCAAGGTCTGCCTGAGCTCTCCCCTGACAGCTAGTGATGAGCCAGTGGTGGGTGGAAAGGCTTCCGGATCAGACTGGATACCTATTCTGCCTACATATTCAGCAGCCAGAGCTGTGCTGCCCAAGTGATCAATTTTGGCGGGTGCCGGGTTACAAAACTGATCACCGGTCAAGGGCAGGGAGAGCTCATTCAGACCTTGCTTACAAATCATTTCATGAGTGTTTCCATTTCAGTTCAAATTTCCAACCAACGACTAAATTGGCAACACTGCATGTAATTGTAGGGTGCTGGGGAAATTAAGGAAATCCCGGCCCCCCCCACAACCCCCTAGGGCTGCACAGGGGTGGAGGAGCAGCAGTCCAATGGGGGAGCGAGCAGCAATGCCAGCTGCTTTGTGATCCAGGTCAGTTTCCTCACGTGGGTTCAGGAGGATGCAAGGGTTAGAGGCAAAGGGGCACAGTGCAGGGGTTAAGGGCTCAGGAGGGAGGTGCAGGGATAGGAGTGAAGGGGATGCAGGGATTGGGGCACAGGGGTTGGGGTGAGGGAACACACACAGTGCAGGGGTCAGGGGCACAGGAGGGGGGCAGGGGTTGAGGTGAAGGGGGCATGCCCAGTGCAGGGGTTAGAGGCACAGGAGGGAAGTGCAGGAATTACGGGTGAAGGTGGCCCAGTGTAGGGATTAGGGTGCAGGGGGGGGGGCAGAGGTTGGGAGTGATGGGGGTTAGGGATTAGGGGTGCAGGAGGAGGAGCATGCATTGGACAAAGGGGGCACAGTGCAGAGGTTGGGGGGAAAGGAGGTCGGGGAGCCTGAGGAGCCCATGGGGGCCAGGGGCAATGGGGGGGTGCCACACCCATGGGGGTCAGGGGCACCAAAATGCAAGTTAGCGCAGCGTGCCATTTTCCCTAAGGCCAGCCGTGGTTACAGCAAAGTCCAGCTGGGTCAGTCCTGCCCCCCTCCTCCCCGCCCCCCGGAGCCTCCTCCTTGTCCCAGTCCAGAAGCGTGAGTCCCGCTTCAGCCACCCACACTATACCGCACCCAAGGGCCCCTCCTCCGTACTCTGTTCTGATTGCCAGGCAAAACAGGTCACCTGGTCAGCCTCCTTGGCTCTTTGTTCTCCCGCTGGCCAAAACCAGCTGGCTTCCTGGAGAGGGGGCCGGCAGTCCCAGGTCGTTAGCTGCTAGGTACCAGATGTCCTGGCCATTGTCTTCTGGGTTTGTCATGGGCTTGGGGCCCCAGACAGCCAGGCATCAGTCACACCTGGATCGTTTCAAAGAATAAACCACCTTTTCCCACCACCTAGTTAACTCTGCAGCACATAGGGGAACCTGAGGCACAAACAGTATTCATACAAAATATTAAGCCGAATTCCCACTTTGTCACAGCTTGATATTCCCCCTCCAGGCCCAGGCCAGTCCAGAGCGACAGCTTGGGGCTTTCCCAAAGTCCCAGCCCACCTGGGCTAACAAAGCCACAATGGGCTCCTCCAGCAGTGGGTGCAGCATGCAGCTGCAAAGAGCTAACAAGGTGCAGAACTGGGCAGCCCGGCATGAAAGGGAGCATTTCCGTGGCTCCAGCACTGCGTTAGCAAGGGAGGTGTTCAGACAAACCCATAAGAACATAAGAATGGCCATACTGGGTCAGACCAAAGGTCCATCCAGCCCAGGATCCTGTCTTCCGACAGTGGCCAATGCCAGGTGCCCCAGAGGGAGTGAACCTAACAGGTAATGATCAGTGATCTCTCTCCTGTCATCCATCTCCACCCCCTGACAAACAGAGGCTAGGGACACCATTCCTTACCCATCCTGGCTCATAGCCATTAATGGGCTTAACCTCCATGAATTTATCCAGTTCTCTTTTAAACCCTGTTATAGTCCTAGCCTTCACAAGCTCCTCAGGCAAGGAGTTCCACAGGTTGACTGTGCGCTGAGTGAAGAAGAACTTCCTTTGATTTGTTTTAAACCTGCTGCCCATGAATTTCATTTGATGGCCCCTAGTTCTTATATTATGGGAACAAGTAAATAAGTTATGATTTTATAGACCTCTATCATATCCCCACCCCCACCCCCCTTAGTCTCCTCTTTTCCAGTCTGAAAAGTCCTGGCCTCTTTAATCTTTCCTCAGATGGGACCCGTTCCAAACCCCTCATCATTTTAGTTGCCCTTCTCTGAACCATTTCTAATGCCAGTATATTTTTTTTGAGATGAAGGGACCACATCTGTACGCAGTATTCAAGATGTGGGCGTACCATGGATTTATATAAGGGCAATAAGATACTCTCCATCTTATTCTCTATCCCTTTTTTAATGATTCCTACCATCCCGTTTGCTTTTTTGACTGCCGCTGTGCACTGCATGGACGCCTTCAAAGAACTATCCACAATGACTCATAGAATCATAGAATCATAGAATATCAGGGTTGGAAGGGACCTCAGGAGGTCATCTAGTCCAACCCCCTGCTCAAAAAGCAGGACCAATCCCCAATTAAATCATCCCAGCCAGGGCTTTGTCAAGCCTGACCTTAAAAACTTCTAAGGAAGGAGATTCTACCACCTCCCTAGGCAACGCATTCCAGTGTTTCACCACCCTCCTAGTGAAAAAGTTTTTCCTAATATCCAACCTAAACCTCCCCCACTGCAACTTGAGACCATTACTCCTTGTCCTGTCCTCTTCCACCACTGAGAATAGTCTTCAGAGGAACAGCCGTGTTAGTCTGTATTCGCAAAAAGAAAAGGAGTACTTGTGGCACCTTAGAGACTAACCAATTTATTTGAGCATGAGCTTTCGTGAGCCACAGCTCACTTCATCAGATGTGTACCGTGGAAACTGCAGCAGACTTTATATACACACAGAGAATATGAAACAATACCTCCTCCCACCCCACTGTCCTGCTGGTAATAGCTTATCTAAAGTGATCAACAGGTGGGCCATTTCCAGCACAAATCCAGGTTTTCTCACCCTCCACCCCCCCACACAAATTCACTCTCCTGCTGGTGCTAGCCCATCCTCTCTGGAACTACCTCTCAGGTATCAAAAAGCAGCTATCAAATCCCCCCTCATTCTTCTCTTCTGCAGACTAAACAATCCCAGTTCCCTCAGCCTCTCCTCATAAGTCATGTGTTCCAGACCCCTAATCATTTTTGTTGCCCTTCGCTGGACTCTCTCCAATTTATCCACATCCTTCTTGTAGTGTGGGGCCCAAAAC